ATCAAAATGCTGAATGACAATTTTCTGATTGGATAAGACCAAAGAAAATTTAATCATTAGCTTGCAAAGCGGAAATTTAAGGTGCAGGTGTATGCAGATTTTGATTGCTGTTTAGCGATAGTGTGACAATTTTGCATGGTTGTGAATTTTGGGGCGCAGATAAAATTAAATCTGCTGCAAAACTCTGTAAATGACCACTGGCACTGTATCTTGAGCAACACTTAACATTCTGGGGATTCACTGGCAGACGGCAACACGCAATGAGGACATCGATCTTGAGTCCGGGGAGTATGTGCCAGTCGTTCATATTCGGAAGTTTGATCTTGAACAACGCGAGAAACATGATTTTGGGATAAAACGGAGTTTTTCAAAAATTCGAATTGGGCAGGTCATGATCAATTTTCTCGCGGCAACTGAAAATCTCAGAAATGTAAGATCAGAACAACCGAATTACAACCGCGGGAAAATGATCGAAAAAACGGTGGAAAATTGCTATTCGCAATTTCCAGATATAATACCATACTAGAAGAGAGCTGTCCTATCCTGAAATAGGAGGCAGAACGACTGCGAACCAAGAAGATACAAATTGGAAGTGGACCAGAGTGAACTTCGGTGGAAAGGTGGACAGTACAAGTCTCCCAATGGTCCAAACCCAAAACTCGATTCTCAAGTCAAAACTCATTGATTCAAATTTTCTCAAACTTTATTAAATTCCATTTATGCTAGAGCCGCTAGTTAATTTAGTTACTCTAATTCTCGAGTGCGCTGGTATGTGAGTACCCAATTTAGTTTTCTTGAGTGTGTGTTTTATAATTGTTATGTTGAGGTAGGGAGAGTTTTAGGTTGATCCATCTGAAATGGATCAAAGTTCCACTGTCTAATAAAAAGCAACTAAAACGGAATGTTCCGACCCTGTTTTTAGCGGCGTTCGCGTGTTTTGAGACCTAAGAATGGTAACGTTCTTTTTTTATAGAGTGGGGAGTATTTTGGTAGTGGCCTTTAAGCTGTAACGAGGGTTTTAGTCTCATGTCGCAAGTGAACCGAATTTGCTCCGACCGTTCGAGGTAGAAAAAATACAAGAGATAGTCTCCCTGACTCTTGAGCCAATGTTTATAGGGCCTATTTTTCTTTAACCTCAAATTTGACTTAAGTAGGCGACTGTTACACTTACATTCCAAATTATTAGCTCAGAAGATAGACGCAGAAATGCTAGCGTCTCGCAAGCATCTGAGAAATCTTGTAAAACATGCAAAAAGCCGATCACCAACAAAATTCAAATCTTTAATTGCCTTGCCTGTGGCGATGTTATGCACATGACAAAAACATGCACTGGAATATCTGAAACTGCCATCCTTGGAATTTCGGAGATCAGTCAGAACGTCATCCTGCTCTCTAACTGTTGTGTTGGAAACAATAGGAAAGAGCCGATGATCAACGATTTGATGCAAACCCGTCCATCCATTGCCTAAACAAAACTAATTGAAATCGCCGAACAATTCTCAACATTAAAACAAGAGATAGATTCACTTAAGCAAAAGATAGATGAAACAAACAAAAAACCACAAAACAGAAATGAGCCAAAGCAACGTGCCTTATACAAACCAGAATCAAGCTATAACGGAATCCGGGTAAAAGGACTGCTTGAATTGGACTAAAAAAATTCCAGAGATAGACACGAACACGACTTGGAAGAGGTGAATAAACTGCTTGTGTTCTTAACAGTTGAAGCAAAAATCACAGATTTAAAACGTTTAGGAAAATACGAAGAAGGAAAAAGGCCACGCACAGCAGTCGTAAATGTATCAAATGAATGGCAAAAACGACTGATACTAATGTCCCTGGCAAAATTGAAAAACTACGATAAAACTCTTTTGTGTCAAAAGAGCTCAGCCCAAGTGAATTTCTGATTGAGAACAAACTTCTTATGAAAAGACGAACAATGATAGAAATTGGCGTATCAGCTAAGAACCTAAGGCACCCAAGGGACCTTATCCTTTACCAAAATGACGAAGAAAGTGGAAATTGTAAAAAAGTGGAAGAAAGCAATTGACTACCTACTGCTAAGTATTTAAAAAAAATTTCTGTCTAAATGTCAGAAGTATTTTAGACATCAGCCGCAGAACAACTCTATCAAATGCCATTTTACAAACAGACTACGATATATTATGAACAATTATTCGACTCCAAAAAAAGCAGCTTGATTTTTTATTTACAAACAACGCTGGAGTGATACTCAACTGGCATACGGACCAAACAGCAACAAACGCATACAGCATTGACAAAGTTTTATGCTCAGATCATTATGCTTACTCTGCAACAATTGACATGGAAGCCAGTATCAAAGAAATAAACAAAGGTGAAAGTCTGGCATTTAACCGAGCCGATTGGACGTCAAAAAATCAAAAAAAGGACAAACTTTTCATACCGTAGTGTTAAAGTAAAGTAAATGAGCTCCTGTGTCAGTGGTATGCATGGTTATGGGACAAAATAAAGATTAATGTACTCAAGGTTACATCACACAGATCATCTCTTCCCCGTGGGTGACACCAAGTACGTCTCACATGCTAAAAAGAGTACAAACCTTAAAACGGCGTTTTGATCGGCAAATCAAACCGACTTTAAACAAACCTACTTTATGCCTTCTCCTAAAACACAAAAATTGGAAAAAAAATCTTCAAAAAGCATTGACTAAAGATTAAGCAATTTATGAAGAAAGAGTAACAAGCAGTAGACGATTGAGTGACTTACAAAAATACTTGAACAAAATAAATATCTCCACGCAAAATCCCCAAAAAAAGTTTTATAAGGAAAAATCCACTAGAGATGACAACCCAAAAAGCTATATTTTTTTAACGAATTCTTCATCAGTGTATATTAAAAGGAATCAAATCCTAACCCTCTCGCACGAAATACAAACAGTTCTCCTACAGAATCAATTTGTACACAAATACACATTGAAGAAACCAAAATCGAATTCGTTCTCAAAAATCTATTAACAAATAAAGCATCAGGTTTTTATGGTATAGGTAATATAATCCGAAAAAATCTTTCTGTCAAATTTGCTCTATCTTCACTTCCGCACATTCATTAGCAAGCGGCTCTTCCCGACCTACTGGAAAACAAGTCAAGTGGCCCCAATTTTTAAAGAAAAGAACAAGGCGTCAGTTGAGTGCTACCGCCCAATTAGCCTTTTATGCTCCGCCCCGAAAGTCTTCGAAAAAATAGTCTTTGATAAAATATAACCCAAAGTTTAACCTTTCATGGAAAACGCAAAATAAGGCTTCTGGCAAAAAAGGTCAGCAGTACTACAAATGGTACAATTTTCGAGCAAAGTATATGAACTCTACGATGACAAAAACGTTCAAACGCTATCAGTTCTTTATCTAGATTTTTCTAAAGCCTTTGATAAAGTTCCTCATAGTATCCTAATCGCTAAACTACGAAACATAAGTCTAGGCATTCAAATACAATACATAATACAAGACTATCTAACAGATATATTGCAATATGTAAAAATCAATAAAAGTTCATCAACTCTGAAAGAAGTAAGTAGCGGTGTACCACAGGGCTCAATTCTTGGCCCTCTACTTTTTCTCATATTCATTAATGACATTCCCAAATGCATTGAGAAATCCCATTGCTTTGGCTATTGTGACGATATGAAGATCTTTTCTACTGAAGAAATTTATCTGCAAAAAGACACGACAAATGTTGAAAAATGGTGCGAAGAAAATAAAATGCCGCTGAACGAAAATAAATGTAATCTGTTCAACCTCAAAGGGAAAATGGAGGTTACACTATTTAATACAAATGTTGATACCGCAAAGACCCAAAAAGACATAGGTATTTTAATGTGTGACAACCTTTGGTGGTCAGTAAATGCTGAAAATCGCATATCAAAAGCAATGGGAGCTTATTACAAAGTCAAACGGAATATATCGAAAAAAGCATCATGAAAGTTAAAATTAAACTCATACTGTAGATACATTGTACCAATCATAAGCTATGCATCGCAAACATGGTTTCCGAACAAAACAGAATTAAGACAACTAGAAAGAGTACAAAAACGAGCGACTTCTTGGATTACAAATAACTTCAAAATGAGTTATACTGAAAGACTGAAATTTTTAATTCTCCTTCCACTATCAATGTACTTTGAATTACACGACATATTGTATTTAGTTTCACTACTAAAAAATAAACAAGACATTGATTTGAATACAATCATTCATAAAAACGAATCACGAACGAGACAAGCAACACGTGGTGAGATTACTGTTCATGCAACAAGACTGAAAAAGTCAAATGAAAATTTTATGTACGCTATACAACTATTTTAGCCAAATTGTGGATTCGAAAATCAAGATTATGACAGCCCGAAAATATCTCTTACAAATACGTATTAGAAATTCTTCAACAGAAATTTTGCAGAAAACAACTTGTGTATGCGGAGAATTCTTTGCTGGTGTGGAAACTGCAACCCACCGGGAAAATTACGAACTTATAAACGAGGGTTCAAAACCCATGGAGAAATCCTAAAGTCTACCCTACTACTACTACTTCTACTATTATTATATGCAAATTTTGTGCTTTTGTAGTTTTTTAAGCTTCCAAATTTTTTGTCGCTTTCGCGCTTGGTTTGCGAAGATGCAGTTTTGTCTCCATTGATTCATATTTTTTGGAATAGTTTTTGATCACTTCGGTTCTTTTTTTGATTTGGGATAAACTGCCACGCTTTATCTGGTGTTTCACCCAACAATGCGTTTTACGAATAATTTATTTTTTTTTGTAATTTTTCTTATATTTTTAAAGCAATTGCGGGCCAAGTTCTTGAAATCTTTGAAGCCCTGAGCTTGTCCGATCACATTCGTTTTTGAAAAGTAATGGTTTTTAGGCTAATTTTCTGGCTGCTAATGGTTTTTCTTTCAGTGTTCATCACTCTTCAGTAATAATAGTTCTATCAGTTTTCAATGAATTTTTAGTGGAACTATCATCTCTGCACATCATTTTAAACATTATGTTTTCAGATATGGCGACTGAAGATGTTCGCGCTGAGTCTGAAAATGCACTCATTTTCAAGGCATCCAAGGCAATCGTTGACACATCGGCGTTGATAAAGGCGCCACTCGATGAAATTTGCAAGTTTTCCGAGACTCTGTACACAGTAGAAGATGTCTTGAAAGAGCTACGCGATAAGAAAACGAAACATAAATTGGCCTTTGTTCCAAATTATCTAAAAGTTTTGACTCCATCTGAAAATAGCTACAATTTCGTATGTGAATTTTCGCGAAAAGCGGGATGTTATCAAGCACTTTCAGTCGCCGATCTCAGGGTCATGGCTCTAACTCATCAGCTCTATGTAGAAACTTGTGGATCCGAGGGTTTGAAATCGGAGCCCACGAGTCGAGTTCTTGTATCAGAGAAGAAAAAACCGGATATGAGCAGCGACTCAGCGGAGATAATTAAGCATAAGGATGATGCGAAAATTCCAGGTTTCTATGTACCGGGAAAGGTTGCTGAAAAGGAAGATGTTTCTGAAATCTCTGCGACAATAATGGCAGAGAATGATAACTCTGAGGAGCAAAATTCCGATGAATCAGAAGAGGATGACGATTCCGGTTGGATTACAAAAGATAACTTACGTGATGCACAGAGGAAAATGGAGAGATTGCATTGCAAAGAAGAGGAAACCAATGGTCGAGACGAAGTTGCGTGTGTGACACTCGACTACACAATGCAGCGCGTTCTTCAGCAGATTGGAATCACGATCATGTCTGTTGACGGAGTAAAGTTGTCAAAATTGAAATCTTATGTCTTAAGATGTTATGCTTGTATGGCAAAGACTCCCAATGTTTCTAAGGTGTTTTGCCCTGAATGTGGTTTGAAGACACTTAAGCGTCTCTTCTACAGCATTGATGATAATGGAGAAATCATTTACCACTTTTCGAAAAATTACGTGCATAGTACCAGAGGATTGAAGTACCACGTTCCGAGACCTCAGGGAGGAAAGCATGGACAAAACCCCTGGGTCGCGGAAGATCAGAGGTTCCCCTTGAACCAGGCTCCAAAGAAAAATAGAACTAAGAATATGCCACTGGACCCAGATTATATTGCTACTACTGGTCCATTCACGACTAGAGATACTCATAGCAGGTATTTCAATGTTCGTCTAGGGTCTCAACAGACATTCAAATGGATGCAGAAAAATCCTAACGAAAACAAAGGCGCACAAAGTAAAAGACGATAAAAATACTTGTTTTCTGAAATTGAATTCTTCGGGCATTTGTTTTTTGATATCAAAATTGGAAGCAAATCTCTCATTATACTTCATTCAAAAGCTGTTTTGGCTTTTTGTTATGTTGAAGTGTTTTCAGAAGGTAAATGAATGAAAGCTCCCGATCTGGAGTCCCAAGAGCAAACTATTCAGCAGTCCGAAGAACCATGTCATCACCTCATTCTCAAACTTCCGGTAAGTCAACATTGAACGTCACTCGCAATAGCCAAACACAGCCAGAAGATATGTCAGGACCTAGCAGTAGTTCTAACCAGTACACAGTTACCTCTCAATCTAGAGCAATTCGGCCTGAGATGTCAAGTGCGGTGTTAAGTTTAAATGCTGCAGAGTCATTTGTGCAATCGAAAGATGACGGGTGTCATTGGTTCCTTGTAAGTGGCGCTCAAGAATACACCTCCGCTCAGCTAGTGTCCAGGAGAAGTAAACATACCATGGTGAAATACAAAAATGCTCTTTATGTGTTCGGTGGGGATGACGGACGAAGGATGTTGAACGATCTGGTAAAGTAAGTTAGTTTAGATCTGATGATGATAAATCAAGTTAGGATCAGTTATGCGATGCATATTAAATCATTTTTGATGCAAAGAGAACAACCTTTTCATCATCGATCTTAAGCGGTAAAGTACAACTTTCTAAGAACCATAAATTTGCGCCAGAACCATAATCATGTTTATAGCGTTTTAGGTATGACATCGAAGCTGATCAATGGCTTCCATTGCGTGTGCAGGGCGCGAACCCGTCCCCGAGATATCACCATTCGGCAGTGGTCTACAAGCACAGCATGTTTGTGTTCGGAGGCTATTCGGGTGGTGCGGGAAACTCTACTACGAACACAGGAGGTGGTCCGTCCAGTTTTGATCTGCAGCAGAACTCGACGAATCTCCACAATCGGAATGATTTACACGAGTATAGGTTTATTGACCAATCCTGGCACGCGTGGATTTTCGAAGGTACGAAGATTCAAAGGTCATTTCATGACTAACAACTCCCAGTCATGCTGATGTATATTGAATTGAATTTGTTGATATGGTTTCAGGTGGTGCTCCTACCCCTCGGTCGGCACATTGCTCTTTCGTCTACAAGAAGAAACTGTGGATATTTGGAGGTTATGGAAGCAATCGCATGGTCAGAAAAATTAGATATTAGACACTTCACCTTTGCCAGTTAAATTGTCGGTGACGTGAAAGGCCTTTAGAACCAGCAAAAAATTCCATTTTTTTCAAAAAAAATTCCATTTTTTTCAAAAAAAAATTACGCGTCCACGAAATTAAAATTATGTAACCGATTCGACCCCATCGCCAACCAAAGGGTCCCCGCTTTGGTGTTATTTTTTGACATCCATTTTGGCCGACCAACCCTAAATTTTTTGTAAAGGCACCTTTGGCGCCAATATATACTCATTTTGAAGGGGAGCGCGCCAAAATTTTCCATAAGTACCCAAAAGCGGCATTTTTAACTTTTTTTCAAAAATTTGCCTGCGGCGCAAAATTCTTCGTCGAAATAGGGTGTTTATAGTGTTCTGGGAGCGCTCGGAAAATCGATTTTGTCAACCTAAAAAAAAGTCGACAAAAATTTATCCACCCCCCTTCTCGAGAAAATCTTAGATCCGCCCCTGATTTTAACCAATAGTCACTCGTTTAGCCACATGACCAGAGACGTCTGCAGAACTTGAATGACATGTGGAATGTATCTTTGGAGACGACAGGGTACCCTAAGAAGTGGCAGTGTGTGGAGCAGAGTGGCATCATCCCCCCTCCCTGCTGCAACTTCTCAGTCACCCTAGTCGACAACAGACTCTTCCTCTTCTCGGGAGTGTCGGGCAAGGAGATGACAAACCATATTTTCACCTTCAATCTCGATACATACAGCTGGACTAGGATATCGCCCGAACATATACTGCATGGATCTGCGGCACCACCCCAGAAAAGGTACAATTAAGTAATAGTATCATAAGGTCATAAGGCAGAAAATGTTTGAAAATAGCTTACAAATGAAAAGAGCAGGATGAAATAAAACATAGTTAGTAGCAGTGTCATCCCATCGCCTTAAACAAAAGTTAAACCAACAATCGTTTTGTTATATTTCAATTTTTTTTGTATCGGTACCGGTCAGTTGATGTTCGCGAAAATCGCTTTCATTTCCTTTAAAAAACAAATGAATCGATTTATTTAGAAACACAAAAATATCAGAGCTTAAATATAATTTACGACGCAGGATTCACTTCCCATTTAGGAGGCGTTTTAGCTCACTTCACTGACGCTTAGTTTCTCCTCAATTTTCTGAAATAGCAGTGAAAATTACACATAATATTGTACAACTGAATCGAATTGGAAATGAATCTTAGTTTTTACAATACATTAGCAAGGAACTGGATTTTAGCAAATATTGAAATACACCATGCAGCTCTTCTTATGAATTTTGTTAAATGGTTAAGCTGAGGAGTAACGGCTCTGTAGCATAGTGGTTAATGCGCCTGTCTTGTAAACAGGAGATCGTTGGTTCGAATCCGACCAGAGCCTTTTAGTGGGATCACAAACGTCTTAAGTTTCTGTGGTGGATTCTTTCCAGTCATCTATCTGAAGTTTCATTTAATTTTTGTGCGCTGAAAAGATTTAAGAACAAATGAACCAGTGTTAACTACCATGTAAATATAAAACCATTTTTCAGAACATGTCGGATTCCTATTCCGCAGTTAAACATCAAGATAGTAGCGTAGTTGAAAGAAAAAAACTAAAAACATTTGCACATGGCTTGGTGCTTGGTAGCCGCTAATTAGGCTCTTTTCCACTTCCCCACCTTTCAAATTTTATTATTTGAAAGATGGGGAAATTTGAAAAATGGGGAAATTTGAAAAATGGGGTTGGTAGTTGTCTTACGTGTAATTACGGCTAAATGCGTGATGTTACGATGCGAAGTATAAAGAACAAATCTGTTCATATTTGTCAGTTTTTTCACTATACCAAATTTCTTTGCATTATGACAACGTTAAATAAGCTTTTCAAAATTGAATTTGAAAGGGGGAACTGGAAAAGAGCAGCTAATTAAACCACAGGCAGACTGTCAGGGTTGAAATGAAAACGATGTGAATTACGAATAACGAGATTGAATCAAAAGTGAATTTTCATGTCAGATTTTCCATTGAAATATTAAAAGCACCTGTTGATTAAATTTTTACACTTGCGAAGCAAAGTGTATTACTACGAACTTTCTTTTTTTTCCAACCTAAGTCGCAAATATTGGCGCCACTTTTTGGGCACCTTAACAACCTTTGATAGCATGTGCTTTGAAATTCAATTAGTAATAAGTTAACACAGTTGATGCATTTCCCATTAGTCAAATGAACCGAAAAAAGCTATTTGCTTAAAAATATCAGTACAATAAAAAAACTCGATTTCAGAAATTTTCAAACTCGATATATCTCGCAATATTTTTGAAATGCATAATTTATACATAGTTTGCCTTTATGCTTTCCAATTTATTACATGCAAAATTGTGTCTTTTTGTTCCGACTGAAACGAAAATAACGGAATATTTGTGCTCTGGGTGGTTTTTTTTCAGACGAGTTTCGACTTTTACAATAGCCATTTTTGACAGAATTTTTTTTATCATTCAAAAGATATTGTTGTCCTGAGCTTAAATTTAAAAAGACATTTCACTTGTGATCTTTTTTCGTCATGTTATGGGGGTTTAAAGATGACAAAAATTAACGCGCGATATATTTCGCGCTATTAACGCGTAAGCGGGTTTTTAATCCGTCTTAGAAATCGTTCCAAGTTGGTTGAAGCAAGCTTATTTGCCAAAATTGATTTGTTACTAAGAGTGAAATTTGTCACTTTGTACCTTTTATGGCATGGGGGGGGGGGTCGATTTTACCAAAAAATCTCAATTTTTTTTTTATATGTTCGTTTTTTTGAAAAATCCGTCAATTTTTATAAAGGGAACGCCACTCAGACCTTAAAATGCAGTCAGAACATTCAGGGCTTTGCCCTGATACGAGCAGCCTTGTTGTAGTGGGTGCCACTTTACTGAATCGATTTGGCAATTATTATATGTCGCTGCGTTATTGGTGGCTAGTTTTTGGGGATTTTACGCATCGATGCCCATTTCTACTTTTTCTTATTCCACTCGATAGAGCTGCTTTTTGGTCGTGATCGTGGTCTCGCAATTGTTTGCGAAGCGCAGCTTCGCATCTATGTCTCATTATGTTAGTTTGATAGAAAAACAAGTGTCCATCATAAATGATTCTTTAAGTTTAAAGAGCTTCAAGGTGATATTTTTTTCTCTTTGAAACAATATTTTTTGTTGGTTTTACAACTGTTATTTGGCTATGTTTTCCTCTTGTAGTCTTGGTAGAAATTCATGAAAACCTGTTTGAAAATGAATTTTAGGTACGGACATACGATGGTCGAGTACCATGGACGTCTGTACGTGTTTGGCGGATCAGTAGCCTCGGCACACGACAACCTGGCATCTGACCTCCTCTGCTTTGACCTCGACCACAAATCGTGGGAAAAGGTCATCCCACGCTCAACGTCCCAGCCAATCACAGGCCGCTTGTTCCACACAGCTGTTGTGTACCAGGATAAAATGTACATTTTTGGAGGAACCGTGGATTTTGATAAACGGTCGAACGAACTCTTTGCGTTCAAGTTCCCAACATTCCCGAAATGTACTCTAACTGAAGATCTGCTGAGACTTCTGACTGATACACGATTACTGAGGTTGGCAGATGTTTGTTTTACTTTCCCGGATGGTGCCAAGCTTCAAGCACATGCTGTCATTGTAGCGGCTAGATGTGCTCCTCTGAAAGAGAAAATAATCGAAGCTCGAAAGGATTGGAAAAGCAGAATAGACCGAGGAGATAGTGATTGTCCTTCGCTGCCTGAAGTGCACATCACAGAGACGAATAAGAATGCGTTCCATCTGGTGCTGCAATATTTATACACAGATCGAATCAGACCAGATTTCACTTCAGCTTCGTCCAGAGATGAGTTGTTGCTGCAGATTATCAAGGTAATCAAATTATTTGACATGTTCAACGGGTCTTGACTGTTTTACTGTTTGTCGCCATCACTCTTAAAGATGAACTAAGTGCGTTAACCATTGATTTTACAAGTTTGTGTGTATTATGACCAAATGTGTGATGGAAGTAGGTAGTTACCGTAAATGTCAAATTTGAAAACAATCGGACTATGTATCATGAAAGATTAAAGTGATGTTTTTCTCAGAAACTTATAGTCTGTGAGTTTTCTGAATAATTCATTTTTCTTGATTTTTTGTGGGCTATTTTATGATTTAACCAGTGGTGTTACACGGTTGTGTTTGGAGACCGAATATGTTTGGATTTGGCTGTGATTCCTCCCTAACAAAATGAAATATTGTCGTAAAGCGTGAACGAAGATTTGTACGGACTCATATAAGGGAAACGGAAATAAGGCAGCCTAGTATCTTTCAACGCCCCAAAGTAAATGGGCTGAAGCCAAATTGTTTTTGTTTGTTGTCATAGGCGAAAAGGAAGGGGTGCAAATTAGAAAGTCGTTGATATTTCCTTGCCGTTATTTTTTTTGTAACGTAGCCACTAGTTTTTAGGCTTATATCTGTCAGATCAATTGTACTCGAAATGAGCTAGGCGTCGTTGTGAATTGTTTAAACAGGGTTGCTTTGCATTCAACAAACTAGCAAACTTGTTTGTAATAAGTTTGCGCTAAAATACGAAATTTTGAAATGATGTTGAAGGAATCAAACGTTCATTTAGAGATGTGCCCGGCACGAATTTTTGAAAAAACCGGATACCGGATAATAAAACTTACCGGATAATAACCGGATACCAGATAAATGCAGGACTACGGTTTCAGAGCCTTGAATAATGGCTTACAACCACGCTATGCTATTCCTTCACAAAAGTTTTTCACGGAACGAATTATCCCTGAAATTTACAATGAAATGGAAGAAAAAATGAGAAAAATAAGCAGAGATTAGGGAAATAGCATAGCGATCATAACTGATGTCAGGAATTTTGAGTTCAGTGTTTTTTCGAAAGTTTTTTTGTCAAAAAACGCGATCAGTATCCGGTAATTATCCGGTGAAGTTTTACCGGATATTCGTGCCGGAATCAGAAAGTGTCCGGATAACCGGAAATAAATTCTGGATACCGCTATCCGGTACAACTCTACTTTCATTTACCATAAGTTTTCTTTTATTGCTAATTTTTCGGAATGTGTTAGAAAATGCTTGGCTGTAGCGCAGTGGTTGATGCGCCTGTCTTGTAAACAGAAGATCGTTGGTTCGAATCCGACCAGAACCTGCAGAATGGTTCTGATGCGGCGAGGATTGTTAAAACTGTTCCTCTTGAAGTGATTAGGCTTCAGGTGCGTTTTCTTTTGCCCATGCATGGATCGTCACAAGAAGTTTTATGATGTAAGCAGTTACGTCGGTTTTCCAATGTTGCTTACATTGAAACGTCGGTTTTATAAATTGGAAACAAGACTGCTCGTATTAGGGCGGAGCCCTGAATATTCTGGCTTAATTTTAAGATATATGGTGTAGTGTTAATGTTCGTTTTTAAGATTAATTAACATACTCTTATATAGGTCTTTTTTTGAGGAATTTGTTCACGCTTAATTAAAATTTTTCGCGGTTTGGCCGGGTGATTTCTTGTTAAGTTCAGCCTTGTTAAAAGGAAGGCAAACTCCACTATCAAACAGCAAAAGTGGAAAAAGTCTCGAAAAACGTGATCGACTTCCCAGTGGAATAAAAATTTTACCTTAAGATCCAGTTTTCTCTAATTGGGATAAATTTATCAAAAAAGGTCAATTATAAATTGTTCTAGAAATTAAAAGAGAATAATGGCCATCTATTTTTTTATTGGAAATTCGAAGGTTGGGATTTTTCCGAAAAGCAAGTCAGTTTTTTTTTCTGTTTCAATGCGTTTATTACTTTTTTCCAACTTCAGTTGGCTATGTTTAGAAGATGGGTGGGCTCTTTTCCAATCCCCCACCCCACCTTTCTAATTCAGTTTTGAAAAAAATCTCTAACATTGTCATAATGCAATGAAACTTGGCATGGTGAACTAATCAACAATTGTGAACAGGTTTGTTCTTCATACATTGAGGAAGTGGAAAAGAGTCAGTATCTTTTAAATTTGAGCTCAAGACAGCAATACGTTCCATATGGTGAAAAAAATTCCGTCAAAAATTGCTAGTTATGAAGTCGAAATTTGTCTGGAGAAAAAAAACCACCCGAGCACAAATATTCCGTCAAAATTAGTCGGAACAATAAGGCTTAACTTGTTGTCTGGGATGTATTTTCTAGTTATTGCATTATTAAGAGTAATGATTGTAGATAGTCCTCTTATATAGGTCTTGGTAATATTTTTTTGTTTTTTTTTCAGGAAAAAGTCTTGAAATGCTCTAATAACAAAGGAAGTGCATTCATACTTGAAAATGCACATATGAAAGCCCTTGGGTTTATATGACTTTTTTTGAGTTTAATTGATTTTCATTTGCTAGAAGGTCGGCAAAATGCACTCCAATTATGAAAGCTGTTATAGTGCGAAAAAACGTGATCGATTTCTAATTTCGAAAATGGAAATTAATTATCAGATTTCCCAGCGAAATAAAATTTCAACCTATTAATCCAGTTCTCTCAATTTGGGTTTATTTTATCAAAAAATTGTCAATCATAAATTGTTCTAAATTTCAAAGAGCTTTTAGGCCATCAATTTTTTTTCGAAATTCAAAAGTTGATGTTTTTTTTTAAAAAGTCGTTTTTTGTTTCCTTGCATTCATTACTCTTTTCCATTTGTCAGTTGGCTATGTTTTTTAGCCAAAAGTATTTTACTATCGAAATAGAAAAAAAGCCGGGCTCTTTCCTTGTAGATCTGGAGCAGTTGAAGGACAAATTTTCAGTACAATCTGAAAGTATGCTTTTATGTGATTACAAACTTTCGCTCGAATGATTTCTGCCTTGTTGAATTTGTGAATGATTGATTGGCAATAAGATCAATGATAGTGAGTTGTTGTTCACCTTGAATTTCGATTTCTCGGTTCAATTTTGCGAAACAAATGAAATTTGTTTTTCATTTAAATATGTTTTACCGTGGTCCTCCTTTTTTATATCGCAAGTTGTGCGCAGTTTTGCTTTGTCTCGTTGATTTTCTCACTTACATTTATTTCCTCAATATATTTGGGTGTTGGGATGTTTTAAGGTGTGTAAGCTAGCCGCAGTGTACAGTCTAGTTCGTCTCGAGTGTCTCTGCCTTCGATTTCTGGAAGAGACAATCTGCATGGAGAACATTCTGACAGTGCTGCATGAGGCTTACAGCATGAACCTCACCACCCTCAGAGAGTACTGTGTGAAGAAAGTGGTGAGAGAGGACAACTTCACAGCTCTCATTCAGAAGGAGACCTTTGCAGCCCTGGACTCTCAGATTATTGTGGATCTGATAAGGCGACACAAGCAGGTCATTTTTTTACATTCGAAAACTTCTCGCGATTGTTGGACATTTTTTTCGCAACCAGCAGCATCAATTTTAAAAAAATGAATGCAGAAAATGCCTTAATCTGTGTTAGTTTTTTCCTCAAATATATATTTTTTGTCAAATTTGTGTAAATTTGGTTTAAAAATTTGTAGCGCGTTTTTCTCATAGTAATTTAATTGTAGTTACCCATTCATACGATTAGTTAGACAGAAAAGTCCGGACAAAAATAATTTGAAGTGGAAAACATCTTTGAGAGTCGATGAACGTAGTTAAGATATATATATATATATATATATATATAGGTCGTGATGATTTTTTTTCGTTTTGAAATCAGTTCTTTTCCATTGTTAAAACATGATCGACTTCTAGCTTCGGAGGTGGATTTTTATTTTCAGATTTCCCGAGGAATCAAAACTTTACCTATCGATACAGTTTTCTCAAATTGCGTTGATTTTGTCAAAAGCGCGTCAATCGTAGACTGTTCTAAAAGTTCAAAAAGTTTTGAGGCCATCTATTTTTTCTTTGAAATTCGGGAGTCAGGTTTGTTTTCTGTTTACTTGCGTCCATTGACTCTTTTCCAATTGTCTGTTGGATATGTTAATTACTCAAAATTTCGTCCAAGAATTTGGAAACTATGGTGAAATCCTAGCACGAAAACGAGGTCTTATCCTTTATAGGTGCAATGCGTGGCACCATCTTCTCCTCAAATTAGTTGGGCATCCATTGGTGGTACCGCGAATACCTCAGAAAATAACAACGCGGCTCACTCTCCTAACTCGACGGCACCAACCGCATCCAGCTCAAACAACCAAAGTTTGAACATGCACGAGAACTTGGAAGACGGGACTCTCGCTGTAGATTTGTTTAACCTTCTCTTAAGCGGTAGCTACAATGGCAGGAATCAATCAGACGTGTCTGGTCGTCCAGAGGCACAGTCGGAAATTGCGAGGAATTTGGAGTCCCTCAATGAGTTTGCGGATGTTCAATTGGCATTTGGAGATGACTTGGTGATTTCAGCTCACAGGGCGGTGCTGGCAGCTCGCAGTCAATATTTTCTAAGTGAGTCTTCCAGTTTCGAAAATAATAGAACATTCTTTTAAAATGCAGATTCTACCAGCAGTGGAAAATAATCTGAATGAGAATCTGATTATTCATGAATTGAAGTTCACTGGTTCATGAATTGAAATCTACAACTTTTTTTGAATAAAGCTGAAATATAATCTGATAATGAGAATCTGATTATAATATTGATATTCGCGTGTCCAATTAACAACTGTGTAACATTATATTTTTTCGTTTTCTAGGCCTGTTTGATTTCAACTCAGCATCATCTAATCTGAACAGACCTGACTTAAGCGTAGCTGATAGTTCGTCACCTGTAAGTGAAATCGCAATCACTCCACTGGACTTGTCATGTCCCATCCGAGTGACCATAGATGACATAGTGCCCACTAGGCAGGCACTGCATACATTCCTCAGATATGTGTACTCTGGACATACTCTCATGCCTCCCGAGGACTCCCTGTTCCTGTTGAGGACTCCCTCTTATTATGGCCTGACCAACGACAGACTCGCCCATATTTGTCAGAGGAATCTAGGTCGGTTGGTGAATTTAAGGAGCGTGTGTTTGACTTTGTGGCCAAATCAGGGTTTCAATTGTAATTCTGATTTAAGACATTGTTCATTGGAATCGATAGCAACAATCTCTTTTTGTTATCAAAATAATCAAGTTCAAGATAACTTGATCGATAATGAAAACAATAGTTAAGTTCAAGCTGCACTATGCGCAGTCATTCAAAAAATCTACAGACAAATAAGGCTCGTAATGAAAAATTCGAAGCGCATTGGAAAACATTTGTTTCTAGGTTTTTTAGTAATTTGGACTAAGATAGATTTTTCATTTATTTTTAGGCTCAAAAAATGAAGATCTAATCGCTTCTTTGAAATGAAATGTTTTTTTTTTCAGAAACCAACATTACGACGGCTACAGTAATTAAAGTGTATATAACAGTGGATTCAATTCCACAGTTCAGCGAATTCAAAGACAGATGTCTCAATTTCATAGTCGATCATTTCATAGAACTGGGCCAATCAGAAGACAAGGAACTGCTCAGCCAATCACAGCTCTGCGAAATATGGGAAATGATGTCTCTGTCTTCCCACCACGTTTACAACCCTTACCCGTAACTGAACTCCAAAAATATGAAATTGTCTGGCTGATGAAATTGTTATCGGAAATCACATCGGTTCGAGAAATGCGTATTTATAGTCATCTCACAGTTCAGCTTGAATGAAATTTTAAGCCTTTTTATGACAGTTCCTGAAACGAAATTCGAAAGGCACTAATTGGAGACTTTTCAAACACTCAAACTTCGAAGCAGTGTGCTGAGCACATTGTCTATCTGTAGAATATTTATTGAAAACTTTTTAGTTTTTCTCTCAATGTATATTTAGATTAATTTAATGTAAATTAGAACTAGAAGTACTTATAGTAAATTAAACATTTGAAATGTTAATATACGAATTTGGTTCGAATTTTTAAGAGTAATGAACGTTATGAACGGCTTTATATAAGAGTTATTACAGTTTTTTGTTGATGAGGTTAATTTTTGTTTTTAGAAAATTCAATTTCAGTTTTCACGTGGAATTAAAGTGGCCGAGACTTTTTTCCTGTAAACAACGTTCTGAAAAACATCTGTAAGAACTATGTAATGAAGATTTTTTGACATTCGTAAAAAAAAATTACGTAAATTTAAGCAAAATTAAAAAAAAAACAATTTTTGATTCAGAAAATTTTAAAACAATTTTGGACTAAATAGGAGGTTCACTTCGATAGAGTTTCCTCAGCAAATCAAAAGTTACTTCTGACGTATTTTCAATTGACTAAAAAAACCAAAATCATCGTTTTTGGAGAAAATTTTTTTAAAGCATCTAAGCGAAGTTGTCTTCGTTTTTGTCTAAAATCAACTCAATGTGAGAAAAACTTATTTTAATTTTTAGATTTTGTCCAAAAAAATTAAATCAGCACTATAATTTTAGTTGAGTTTTATCAAAAATGACGAATTAAATTAGAACTGGCGTGATATTATATCCTTTTTTGTCAAATCTGAAATCAGTATAGAGCTGTTACAAAGATAGAAAGTTTATATCTCATTATATATCTCATTTCAAGTTTTTTTTGATCAGATACTTAGTTTTTTTAGCGAATTGAAATTCAGTTTTCACGTGGATCTGAAAAGAACAAAACTTTTTGTTCCTATAATCAACGTTCAGACAAATGTGAAAAATTACATGCTGAATCACGTGCTGGCTGACCTGCATAGTTTCTTACTATGTCCGTACAAATGAATTTTTTCAATATAATTTTTCGTATTCTACTTTTCGTGGGCTTATTTTCCGTTCTTTTTCAAGTGGTTTCAAGCAAATTTTTTCTGAAAAGCTTAAAACACGATAAGATTTGTTATATTTTGACTTGTTAATTGTTTGATTACATGATCTTACTCTCTAAAACACAGCTCTTTGTGGCCGAAACCTACTGAAACTTCCAAAGTTATCAAGTTTATCGAAAAAAAATTGCTAAATTTTAAAATTTTTGGAAAAACTGCAAAAAAATCAAGTTTTTGGAGAAAATTGCAAATATCTCAATTTTTGGTTAATTTTCTGTTGCATCTGATCTAATTGTAAATTATACCTTAGGGCAGAATTTAAAAGAAAGCTCAAGCTGTATTTTAAATGGCCTCATGTTGAGACAATGATACAAAAATTTGACAAAATGTTAAAATACGATGAAGTTCAACCTAATTAGAGCTAAGAAGCGGGTTATATAACGCTCTGAACACATATTGAAAGCTCATTTTGGCTAAATCAAAATTGAAACTTCCAATTTCTCGGGAAAGTACTGAAATTAATCTTAATTTCCGAGAAAGTGATGTAAAAATTAATCAATTCTACTCAAAAGTTTCCATTTTTAACTTTTTGTTTGTGTAATTAACTGGTTTTTCGTGACACTGAAACTTAAGAATCTCAATTCAAATGAACAATAAGAGCAATATTCATTGAAACTTCTAGATTAAACTCCATGATTCAACTCCTCCTCAGTTTTTCTCAATGATCAACTCAAATTTGTACAAAAATTACAATTTCTGAGAATTTTTTCACGTAAACTTTAAAAAATTTCAGATCAATGATGAAAAATGAACAATTAACTGCTAAAACTGACTAAAAAATGTACCAATTTTTCTTCAAAGCATATTAGATGTTCAATGAAATTTAACAAAGTTTTCTTTATAACTGATAATTATCTCTCTATAAGTTTTACCGTAGAAATGTTCTATGTTTTAGTGTTATTCTTGTTTTTTGCTAAGGCATTTTTTTGCTATTGAAATCATTTTGCAAAAAATTAGTCAGAACTTGGAAGTTTAGTGGAAAAAAGTATCAATTGAACGAACAGTCTACTGGCAGAAATAAAAATAGAACTGAGAATGTCGGATTATTACTATCTGTTTTGTACATGACTACCTTCAAATTCCCTCTTTTAGTAGCTAAAATACAACTTTTGGTATCATTAACTACCACTTTTCTTGCAAAATACTCATTAAATCGCTTTTTATTCTGGATTTTTGTCGGAAATTTGTTCAAAAAAATTCAATATCACATTTAAAAACTGAGAAAATAAAGGTTTGTTTTTACATTAAGTTTTTAGAACAAAATAAGAGCAGCTTTATTGGTTATTACCTGAAAAACTTCGGAAGTAGAAATACACAAGGGAATCTAGGTCCTAACATCTGCAACATCTAAAAACTTCTAGAAGAACGCTTCTTAAAATAAATCATATGAGAAAAGAAAATCCAGATGCAAACTGCAAAAACTGAATAATTTAGCGAAATTTACCAAGGAAAAAAACTGTATAGTTCAACTTATTTTTCTAATTGAAATAAAATTGCCACAAACTAGAGCAAAATCTTTACATTGTGTCTTATTGAAACCTTTCATGTTAAATTTCATATAATTATAAGATCTTACATCTGTTTCTGCTAAAGTATCAGTTCAATTGGAAAATTTTAGCAAGCTCCAAATTATTTTCTCTAAAAATCTTTCTACATCAAAGTTTTTTGCTTCTTATCCCAAAAAAGGAAATGTAGATCTTGAAAGCAAAATTTTTCTTTAATCTTCATGATCATCTTCTAAAAGATCTATTTTTGCCTGATTTTGTCAAAAATATGGATAATTTAATGGAAAAACCGTATCAATTAACCAACAATTTTTGTGTTAGAGATGGGTTTTATTCACAAAAATTATCCTCAAAACACCTGAGTTTCCAATATAAATGTCTAATATATAAAATGATAAATAATTTTCCAAAAAATTACACATAAATATATAATTATTCGAGTGTTTTTATGATATACTTTTCTCAAGATATAAATTATATGCTCAATTTCAGGAAAATTATCTCAAAACATGAACTAATTTGAGTTTCTATTTCAATTTAGTTTTTACCCAGTTTCTGCTTCTTCTACCATCTTTAAACTTAATCCAACTTGAGCAAAATTTTATAGAAAAATTGTATTTTAGATGGTAAACTGTATCATTTCATTGATCGCTCATTAATCCGAAGCAGTGTTGATACCATAAACTCTTTGCTGAAAATCTTCACTTGAGTTTCTCAACCTGATAACTGTATAATGCTTTTTCAACTCTGAATTTTGTGCGTAACCTCTGCCACATTCAATACATGCTACTCTTTCTTTTCTATTCAGTGATGACATCTCAATAAGTGAAGGAACAAATGAAAGATTCAAAGAGTCATCAAGGTTTTGGTCCCATGAATTAAACTGAGTTTGTATCTGAAATTTTTTCTTTTCTCAGTTTCTGCTTCATCTAACATCTCTAAATTTAACCCAATTCGAACAAAACTTTACAGGAAAGTTGGATTTTAGATGGAAAATTGTATCATTCATTTGATCGTTAACTAATCCGAAGCAATGTTGATACCATAAACTCTTTGCTGAAAATCTTCACTTGAGTTTCTCAACCTGATAACTGTATAATGCTTTTTCAACTCTGAATTTCTATATTGAAGAAAACTTTTGGTTTAGAATGATGAATGTTGTTATCTTTCAAAGGCTAGCAAAAACATACATTTTGTCCTCTTTTCCAGAACAGTTATGATTTTCATTTCTGAAAACTTGAGAAAAACAGTAGAAAACCATAATTCTTAATAAATCAACCTCCATTATCTGCTTAAAAACGCTTTACTCTACGAACACTTTTACAAGCACTAAAAAAAAGATAACTTTAAAATGATAGCTTCCGTTTTTTTACAATTTTTTAACCGATACTTCACCACTCCTTAGCGTATGTTATGCTTTTTTTACTACAAATTTATTGCAACAAAGTCTCCGCAAGCCTGCAACCATTGAAGATTTTCCCATAGAATAAAGATTTTCGGATCGATTTCCGTTGAAAGTTTTACGAAAATTTGAACTCGATTCTTCCTGGTTCTATCATCAATAAGAACCTTTGAATAAAAAATAAAAAAATAAATGACAGATCCAGAATTGTGATGATAAGTTGTATAATGTTTACTAGAATTTTCCATGTTTATCACCATTGTATAGATTTTTTAGATTCAGTAAAAATTGTTATTCATATTAATTTCCCCTGTGTTTTTAAAAATATAAGTTTACTTATCTTCTCTTGGAGTGTGTTTAGAGACTGCTGAGCGTCCTTTCAAAATTTAACACTATTTTGACAGGAAGAATGCTTCATTTTGATTTGAAAATTCATTTCCTTGCTGCTATATGTAAGAAAGTTGCAATTTGGACACTTCAAAACTCCACGGGTTCTACGATGTCTTGACGCTTCTTTACGTGTGTAATCTCTGCCACGGTCAAGCCATGCAACTCTTTCGTTTCTTTTCAGTGACGACATCTCAATAACTGAAGGAACAGATGAAAGATTCAAAGAGTCCACAAATTTTTAGTCCCAAGAATTAAACTGAGTTTCTATCTGAATTTTCTTGTTTTCTCACTTTCTGCTTCATCTAAAATTTTCAAATTTTATCCAATTTGACAAAATTTTTCAGAAAAGTTGGATTTTAGGTGGTAAACTGTATCATTTCATTGATCGTTAACTAATCCGAAGTAATGTTGATACCATAAAAATTTTTCTAAAGTTCTTCACTTGATTTTATCAAGCTGATAATTGTAAAATGCTATTTCAACTCTGAATTCCTATATTGAAGAAAATGTTTGGTTCAAAATGATGTATTTTGTTATCTTTCAAAAACTAGCAAAACATACATTTTTTCATTTTTTCTAGAACAGTTATCATTTCATTTCTGAAAACTTAAAAAAAACAGTAGAAAACCATAATTCTTAATAAATTCAACCACAATTATCTGCTTAAAAACGCTTTACTTTATGAACACTTTTACAAGCACTAAAAAAGGAAACTTTAAAATCATAGCTAGGCAAAACCTCTCAATTAGTCGATGTTTTATAAATATACAGTTTTTTACAGTTTTTTAACTG